CCATTTGTTTCAATATTACCATTAATTAATGCCACCACCCCAACCCTAATACCTTTGAATAAAACTGATGCCCCAGAAAGAGGTACCATGTTTATATTGTATCCCATTTCAGAAGCAGGGGAGCAAGGAATGGTTCCTAGAATTTTCCCAACTGAAAAGTAGTTCTGAAAATAGAGGACCTCTTCCCAGAAACACTTTTTTGAAATTTTGTTGCCAGAGACAAATCAAATAGGAGCACTAGGGATACATTTCAGAAAGTAAGGAAAAGCAGGTAATATCAAATACTATCTAAAATAATGCCTAGTTAAAAAAACTTAAGCTGGTAATATTTAATGGATTTTTTTTTTTTTAATGTTGTGCACCAAGTAAGCTTGTTTCCTCTATAGCCCTGCTCTTCATCCACCCTGGTAAGTGATCCAGCTGAGGCCCCAGGTTGGACCCAGGCGGTAGCTGATGGCTGCCTAGGCCTCTGGTGGCCACAAATGAGAGGCGACTCACATCTCTTGCCCACCTGGCTTCTCTTCTCCACCCCTCGGGCTTATGAAACTCAAGGCTGTATACGTTTCTTCCTTTTTGCTCTCCTGCTCATCTTTTAACAGGTAAGCTCCAAGCTGTCTAAAAACCTGATTTTTTTTTTTTTTTTTGTCCTTTTTGTGACCAGCTGCACCGCGCTCAGCCAGCGAGTGCACCAGTCATCCCTATATAGGATCCGAACCCACAGCAGGAGCGCTGCTGCGCTCCCAGCACCGCACTCTCCCGAGTGCGCCACGGGCTCGGCCCTAAAAACCTGATTTTAAAATATGCTAATCAAAAAAACCCCCTGCTAATCCCTATTAATTTTCTGGCATGACACTCTTACACCTTGTTGCCAGAGGTTTTGCTACCTGGGCTATCAGTGTACAAAAGCACTGAGGAAGGCATGGAGGAAAGATGCTTATGATTAAGTCAGCCAGGCCTGGGTTTATGTCTACTCCATCACTTATTACACACATGCTTAATATTGGGAATATTAGCTAAAATTGGAATAATTTCATACATCTTTGAGAAAATATCTGTGAGAATTTGGGATAATGTGATTTAAACATCTAGCAGTTTAAACAATAAAACCAAACTTGTGAAACTGGATGTTTTGTTTTAAAAATAACTAGTGTAGTGAACACAGTTCAATCTTTCTTTGATACCTGAGATTCTCACATTGCTTCTAAGTGGTTATTCTGAAAAAACAAGGGTGGTAAATTCAGAGCCCACTGTTTAACAGATGAGGAAATCAAAGCTCAGGGAGATTAAGGCAGCGGCCGAGGTCACACAGCTGGTAAGTGATATATAGCTACAGATGTTAGGAAACTGGGCTGAATGGTGTACTCCAATCAGGAGTCAATCTCAATTTTGAACTGGTAAAAATTTCTTACTCTATATAGCCAACAAATATGAGTTACACAATCAGGTAACATAAGGGATTTAAGTTTGATATGGGAAGAATTTCATCAGAGCAAAAATTCTTAAACGGTAAAATAGATGAGGATGTTGTGAAACTCTGGGTTTTAGAAAAGAGTATCTGTTGGTATCAGGCAAACAAAGCAAAGATAGCAGGAGAGACTGGATGACTGTTTTCTTTCACAATCATGAGCATAAGAGCAAGGATTTCTAACATTCCAGCTCATGATTACTAAGCGGATATCATGTCCAAAAAATTCAGTTGTCTGAAAATCTCCATTCTGAAATTTCTCTTCCTTCCTGAAATACAAGTTAACAGTTTAACGAATAACTCACTTAGCAACATAAAAGTTCTGATAAAAGCTGTGGTTTCGGGGGGGGGGGGGGGG